ATCAAGGCATGGCAGGTGAGTAAGCAGGCGGTTAGCCCATTACAGGAGGGCAAATCATACCCGGAGAGGCTCCAATAGTGGCACTCCTGTTGCACCACCCATATCACTTTTCAATACTTTTTGTTATAGTTGGCATTCAGAAGTGTTTTGTTGTTTTAGTCGTCTTTGCAAGCTAGTTTTTTTCCTAAAAGTTTAGACAACGTCTTCCTATTGCTAAGTCTTTGCAGAAACAAGCACTTAGCTGCTGCTTTTTCAATGAGAGCAAAGAATTATATCCTTCTAATACTACTGGAAATTAATTCTTTCCATAAGATGCTCTGACAAACTACTACAACTTTTTATGCAGATTAGAGTTTAGAAATACAGTAGTAAGTCAAGATTCGGGCTTATTGTTTGTCTCATCGTAAAGCTCTGAATTCTATGGGCTCTGTGCCTTTTTAGGTCTCAGTGTTCAAATATTTCATTTCTGGAGCTCAGGTTTCAAATCACATGATTGGTCATAAGTACAAATTATCTTGGTGGTATCATTCTCTTTGTTACCATTTTTATGTGTCACTAAATTATCACATGGCTTAACATAATTAGCAGGAAGAAAAGCCCAGATTTGAAACACAGTTACTAGTTAGGAACATATGAATAGCAGGGCTGTGGGAAGGAGTTTACAGAAGACCTGTTTGCCTTGTGCTTGGCTCAAATCCAGGCAAGTCTCTCACAAGCAAATTTAGATAATCCCAACATCACAATTAGTTTTAAAGCAATGGAATGTGCTGCAGCATTGTTTTCAGGGCTCCAGTTGCAACGTTAGACTCAATATAAACAAGAAATGTTTAATCTTTAACAGACATATGAACTGAAGCTGTATTTTAATTTCCTTAATTTGTGACTACAATGGCTCCTGATGTTCCGGTAAGCATCTATTCAAATGTAGAAATTGTGAAAAAAAATCCCATTAATTAAGCCTCCTTGATTGTCCCTGTGCCTGCCTTAAGTGTTAAGAGAGGGACACGGAAAGAAAAAAAAAGGGGCATGATTCTAAGTAAATAAATGTTTGTAAGTGTTGTTTAAAGGGAGCTGTTATACCCTGTATAGAGTATCCAGTCTGAGGTGTAGTCAACTGTTCATGTACAGTGGTTGCAAATCATTGGAATGGGGTGACATGTAGGGGGTGCATGCAGGTACACATGCATCCCCTGCATGTGGCGGTGCACCCCCTGCAAGAAAGTGCCACTGACACTGTCACAAGAGGTCGCCACTTGTCACCCCACCACTACAATCCCTGCTGGCTGCTCCTGCTGCCAGCAGTGGCTGCAGGTGGTCACCGATTCTTGGTCAGTGCTCGCCACTCCCCACCGCCGCTGAAAGCACCAGCAGGAGCTCCCCAGTTTACTGCCACTGGGCTCCCACCGCTTCCACCGCTGCCATGCTCCCACCGCCACTGTGCCCCCCCCAGCTGCCAGGGGCATGCGCCGTTCATGCATTGGAATATTGTGATGTATTAAGCTGGTACACGTTAGTACGTATTACTTAATGAAATATCCAGATAATCCTCCCTTGAAAGGAAGAAATTTTGCAATGCCACAATGGCACTAAACTGTTTGAATGTGCTGTTAAGTTGAATGTGTGATGCCATCCTGAGATACCTGCACTCCATAACAAGTTAACATGTTTTGTTTTTTTTTAGCTTACCCAAAAATAACAATTCTTATCTTTTTCCCTTTCCAACTAGATCAAGAAAAAACAGCAGGAAGTACTGGGCTTTTTAGAGGCCAACAAGATTGACTTTCAGCCAATGGACATAGCTGGTGATGAGGACAACAGGAAATGGATGAGAGAAAATGTCCCAGGTGAAAAGAAGCCACAAAATGGAATCCCTCTCCCTCCACAGATCTTCAATGAGGAGCAGTACTGTGGGGTGAGAAGTCATTTAACACTTTTACGGAGTGCTGGAGTGATGTTGAAGCTATGGTGGTCCAGGAATTATGCAAGAGGCAAGGAGTGGGTGATATCTTTTTATTCAACCAATGGCCCGGTTAGGATAAAGTTAAATGAGATTTTAAATGCAAGGCATTTGATATTTTTCATAACGTTGTAGGCTTTGATAAGGATTTTATAGAAGTACCCTAAAACCATTGTTCCTAAAATAATCAGGGATTCTTTTTTGATTTAATAGTTTTAGGAAATATTAGACGTGAAAAGAAAATGGAGTACTTGATTATCTCCTTTCACAAAAAGGACCTGGAGGAGGGAAAACTTACTAGAGCATCTCTGGCTGGTAAACTATATGGGGATTTTCTTTCTTCTACAGAGAGAGAGACTGGATGCCTGTAGACATGCTGGGACTCAATTAATTGATTAATTGAGTCTTCTGGAGTGTGCTAATTAGCATGCTCCAGCCAGCCTCTACATCTTGTGTATTAGTGTCTCCATGCTTCAAAATGGTGATGGGGGTGTTTTAATTAAAGCTTGTCAAACAAGTTTTAGCACTCTGCTGCCATTTTGAAGCATGGGGTCACTGATACATGAGATACTGTGGGTGCTTTAATTAGAGCAGCTCTTGGAGCCACCTTAATTAAAGCCCCACCACCACCCCCAGAGCACATATAAAAATGCCCTGTGGGTTCATTGAAGGGTGTCAAGTGTCAGCTTGTCACCCATAAGGAGTTCCCTAGCAATCAAGCATTCCATCCGGCTGGAACTGGGGCCTGGTAGCATAGCTCCCTTACAAGCAACCACTGGCTCCCTGCCCATGTCTTGCGTTACCCACATTGAAAGGGGAGCAGAGAACTCTAAAATAGGTGATGCTGCATTTCCTGGGATAACCAGGTGGCAAGGGCCTGCTAGGAAAACGATTCCTTTTCCCAGCCTGTGTGCTCACCTTTGCAATTTTATCTTGACTCTTGACATGCTCTGCTTCCACACATAAGAAATAATTGACTAAATATAGAGTGCCAGTCACAGCATGTTTATCCAGGGAGGCATCACTGGAGCTTTGAAGAGAGGCAGAAAGCCTCGCCCTGTCAGCTACACTCCCTGCCCTTTAGCAGTATTGTGGCTTTTCTCTTTGCAGTTCTGTTCCTTTTGCTCTCTCGAAGTCAGTGGTCTCTGACTTTTTTAAGCACAAGATCACTTTTTGAATTAAAGTGCAACCCAGGATCTACCTCAAAGAAAATGTAGAAATAACAGTTTATTTTACAATTATACAATTATTTACAGTTATAATTATTTATAATTATACAATTATTTACAATTACAAGTATTACAGTTTATTATACAGTTATACATTTTCCCTACTTACCGAGTCTTAGTGTGACACTTGTGACTGCACATTATCTGCCTGCTCCAGACCAGGCTGTCATTGCTGCAGGGGTCCAGGGCAGAGTTGTGATCCCCTGCCTGCACACCACCCCTGCCTGGAGCATGCAGGCTACAGATTGTGGCTCTGCCCTGGCTGCAGAGCAAGCTGCCCCCATCCCAAGTACCCAGTGGCTCCAGAGCAGCCCCCTGTACTGCTCTCAGTCTGATCTCCATGGGGAGATCCCAGCCCCAGCCCCAGCCCCAGCCTAAGCTTCCCCTTCCAGATGAGGCTGGGGTCTCCATGGAGACTGGCCCAAGCCCTGAGGGCAGGGGCTGCTAGGAATTGGAGTCCATTTTGCCCACCCCTATTTTATGCCTAACTTTAGCTTGGAAAAAAAATGAGATGGGAGGCTGAGACTGAGATCAACTATCAGAAGCTCCACAATTGACCAGTCGATTGCGATCTACTGGTTGGTGACTACTGCTCTAAGCTATGCTGTGGTGTTTCATAGGTGCAATGTGGATTTTATTAGGCTCACTGAGGATTTGAGCACACAAACAGGTTACCATGAAGTGAAAAAGGGTGTGAATTTACCATATGGCAACTGCCATTGGTGATGCGTAGGGGGTGCATACGGGTGCATGTGCACCCCCGGAGCATGGCGATGCACCCCCTATGAAATGGGGGTGATCACCACTCGCTACCTCCCCCTCCCCACCGCCAACAGCACTGGTGGCATCTGTGGGAGCTCCCTGCTTACCGCTACTGCCAGCACCGCCATGCCCCCCGCAGCTGCCAGCGGCACACGTTCATGGCAGCTGCTACCCATATGCACTCTTTTGCCCCACAGTAGATTAAAACTAACTTGTGGCAGTTGAGCCTTGTTTCATTGCATTGCTCAGGGTTAGCTGTCATGTAGCACAGGATAAGAGCATGAATATTGGCAGTTACCCCAGAACAACTGACTTGTGGTAATCTCCTCCTTCCTTTAACCTCACATCCCGGATGTACCTATAAAAGCTGTTGTAAAAGCTTGTGTATTTATGTGACTAAAATCCTTCTCAGAAATTTCCATTGGGCCTCAATTCAATGCCCCTTGAACTCCATGGAAACACTCTCATTGACTTTATTAGATGTTATATTGAGCTTTTAAGTTAGCACTTTTTTTACTGGCAGGAATAGATTGTATAATGACACTTACCCAGATAAAATTGCTTAACAGAAAAAAAGACGTACAAAGCATTTATGAAATGTATTGCAATAGTCAAGGTCAAAATCTAGCAAGAGGAACACAGTAATGTATTATTGTTATTGCTTGATTTTTGGTAGTATACACACTGTGCTAGGTGCTTTGTATATGAAAAAATCTGTACTATCCTCCACCCAACAGAATTAAGGATTTTTTTTTTTAGAACATGAATTTACAGGTCCACAGGATAAACATTGTGCTCCTCTTCCTACAAATTGGGTAATTTCATGTGCAAGTAGCTGTTTAGGTAACTTCCTAACTATGTGTGTATGCAGTTCTCTGTTTTTTACATAGAACCACCATAACTGCACCTTCTGTTGTAGGTAGGGAGTTGTCAATGTTTTGCATATGAAACTTTTAAAAAAATGTGGCCCAATTTTTGACCCCAAACAATTAAGGGATTAGATGGATTTCCTGAATGACCACAGCATTTCTTGGAAAAACAGCAACAACCAAGATAAGATCAGGTTCCCTTTGGGTAGTAATAGACCCCACATAAGCTTTTGCTTAGGCCTATGCAAGTAAGCAGGTATTCAGTTGGGCTTCAGATCTGGCCACTTCAGATGTCAGCGATTCAATCTGGAGCTCTGGATCGGTTTGCTGCTTCGATCCGTCCAAAGTGGCTCCAAAGCTTTGGAGCTGCCTCGGAGATCAGCCATAGGGTATAATGGAGGATCAATGAAATATCTATACATTTGTTGTTTTGTCTCTGATTTAGGTGAAACTTGCAGGGGTGGTAGCCTCTGCTGAGAGCATGAAAACTGATTTAGATGAAAACTGCAGGAGTCGTAGCCCCTGCTGAGGCCACAAAGCCTGCCAGGTTTTAAGAAGATTGGTGCAGGGGCTTGGGGGAAACTGCACCTCAAGCTGCTGACAGACAAAATTCATGACATAGATGACCCTGTGTGTGTTAAGGTGCAGCAGGATGAAAACTGCAGGGATGGTGGCCCCTGCTGAGGCCACAAAGCTTGCCAGCTGTGTGTGTGTCTCACTGGGGGAGTCTGTCTTCTGGGGCACTGCACCTCTGGCTGCTAACAGGCAAAACTCATGGGGGGGGGGTGTGTGTGTGTGTGTGTGTGTGTGTGTGTGTGTGTGTGTGGGTGTGTGGGTGTGTGTG